AATATACGGCTTGATACGTACCTGTTTTGTTTTCTGAAAATGTGAAGCTAAGGAAAAAAAACTTAATTCGTGGACAACAATATATGAATAATATTATCATAGACGCATATGCAGTTTGTTCTAAGCACACTGACTAATTAAGATCTTTGAAACAATATAGAGAGAAGGTAATAAGCGAACAGTCGTGCAGCATATCTATCGAAAGAGCACACACTATTATATAGAGATCAGTTTATGAATTTAATTTTCAAATTTCTTTTTAATCTCTTAAGATTTAGATGCATTTTTTTTTCAAATTTCGGATTTTCAATATTACTGAGGCAGATCTTTTCCTCCCTTTGATAGACTACAGATCTGCTGTGGTTTTGTTAATTGTACTTTTTTTTATGAGTTTCAAAAATCTACTTATATAAGCGACATTATTGATTCCTTCTCTTTCAGTAGGTAAATCCGAAGACAGTTGCAATCCTTTAAGTAACTATACTCCACAAAACCATCAGCAAGACCTTAGAAGATAATTAGGTGACAAACTTAGTCGATAATAGTTAATAGCTACAAATTATTCTTTAAAGGCTTTGTAAATCCCGAAAAGCGGACGGACGTGGCAATGTCTTCACTTTCTTTGATCGATGATAGATAGACAAACCAGATCGCTCCCCAGGAAAAGTCTATTCTAATCACTAATTTCTTAAAAATGAATTTTAGTAATTCACGTCTTGCTGGTTTGAAGTATAGCTACGGTACGTCCATTATGGCTTATGCGGTCAGGGAAGAATTTGAAGAGTAAAGCCATTTATAGCCAATAAGTTCAAAATAAGGCCTTCTTAACAGGGAAATGAAAGTTTAATTCTGGGAAATATTAAGAATAGTCTCACAATTTTAATTGGGCCTTGTATTCAATGGATTTAGATTAAAAAAAATGACTTCTGCGTGGGGAACATTGCGGATAAAGATTACGATTTTTAATTTGCTTAAAAGAAGCTAGAAGTCTTTATAATGTGCGAGACATCATATACTAATAAGATTGCGAATACCTTACCAAAAGTGGAGAAAATCTTTTTCGCACACGCTCTGTGATCATGATAAATTATCTAAGGTTCAAAGAGAGACATGAAATCTTCCTCCACAAGGACTTTTGCACTGTCCTCACGTAACTGAAAAGAAAAAAAGAAGCTGCAGCGTGCATAACAAATGAAGTGAATCTTGAACGTCTTGAATGATTAAAAAGTAGACGGGCTTCTTCCATAAGGCTTTTTAAGAAGCCGTACATACATAAACCAATAAAACGGTATAAACTCTCCATCGAAACTAGTTAATCTTCTCCTTATGTACCCTGTAATTGTTATGAGTATAAGTAAAACTTTTTTCTCATGTAGGCACACGGATTGATTCACGTATATGATGAAAGAGGCTTTTGTACTGTAAGTCCTCTAAAAGTCATAAAAGTCATACCTTTATAATTGATTTGCTTTCAACTTAAGTGTGAGTGGGAGCGTGGGCGTGTTTGTGACTGTTTACTGCTAAAACACTATACTATAATTTTGTGATACTTATTTTTAATAATAATTTGCTTAAGCCATTTTAACTTTTACACATTTAGGGTTTCGGTACTTTTTCCTTTTTTTTTTTTTTAATATTTAATTTTATTTTAATAAACGGTGTTTTCAGTTGCAAAGATTGAGTTTTTTTTATCGAAGATTTATTTTTTGGTTTTTCTTTTGCTTTACCTTTTTCTTCTTGTTGATGATTAAATGCATATTTATGAAAATTACATACATATTATGGTTAATTTGTTAAATTTCTTGTCAGCTTTGCAAATCGGCCAACAGGAACCTACTAAACTGAGTGGGGTGATTGTTTGTTGTATATGCATGTATGTATGTATGTATATATGTATGTATGTGTATGTGTATGTGCATATGTGTGTTTATGCGTGTAAGTGTTTGCGAATAAGTTCATTACGTTTGAAATTGTATGCAAAATAAGTGCTTTTTAATAAAATATTTATACTTCTTTTTTCATTTTTTTTTTTTAATAGCAAATAGCTTTTGTTTTTTATTTTTTTTGTTAATTACATATTTTTAGGGCTAATCTTGCGATCTCTAGCGTGTAATGACGATTTTTAAATAATAATAATTTAATATACATATATATGCTTATAAAAAAAAAAAATAAAAAAAAAAAAAAAAAAAAAAAAAAAAAAAAAAAAAAATCGAAGCAATCCTAAGCCTTCTTCCTTTTTATGTAAAGATTTATATATATTTTAAAGCATTTTTATTACGTTTTCATTCAAGCTTTGCCTCTAAATTCTAAGTTGTTTTTTTTTTCCTAACATTTTGTTATTCATTTTTTTTTTTTTTCTTTCCTTTATTATATTTATTTTCATTTGCTTCTCCCTTAATAAAACACCCTTTTTTTTTTTTTTTTTTTTTTTTTTTTTAACGATTGGCAACTTTCGTTTCTCTTCT